ACGCACATTCAGAACTGAAAACTTCCCGCACCATGAATTGAGAAGGGCTTAAACCCACAGTTCGAAACAAATTTTGTACTGATCCATGATTATAGGGAATAAAATGACATTACTTCACAGAAAAAAGGGCAAGAGCAAAAACATGGAAAAAATAAGTAAGAAAACAGGAAATTTCCATCTCCACCTCCACCTCCACCTCCGGGAGCATAAACTCGATTCTGCTACCAGCTTTGCAGTTAATTTCAGAAAACAACCAAAGGACCCTAAGAAAACCCCCGATTCTCAACAGATTGAACGAATTCGCAAAAGTTGAACAAAATCACAAAAGCTAAGAACAAAAACGCAGAGATCGCTGGGATCATCTCATCCCATCCAGACATGTAAAAAAAAATGGAAATCTCAAGAAATAAATTACCAGATGGAATGAATTGAATTGGATGTGGAAGAAGAAGAAGTTGGTCAAGATCGGATTTGTCATCAAAATCCGATGCTCTGTGTGTGTGTGTGTTCTCGTTTCTTTCAACTATCTGTGGAGTGAGGCGTGTGCGCCCGCATGTGTGTGTGTGAACCAACGCCAAAAATCATCGCAATCACCAACCAACCATGCCCAATCCCCTGCAGCGCGTTCCATTGTAGCCCAATTAATCTCCGCCGTTCGATCACCATCAAACGGACGCCGAGTTTTCGCCTCACGTTTTCCACATCACGTCACCCATTCACGTGTCTCATTCACAACGTTTTTTTTTCTTTCCTTAGTTATCGCATTCACTACGTTACTGAATAAATAAATGCGTTTTTTAGCTTATTAAAATATTACGTATAATATTTCAAAGAGAATTTATTTGTTTGATTGGCTCTAAATTTATTTATTCCTTGCCACCCTGAGCTTGTTAGAGACAAAGCAAAAAAAAAAAATATTTGTTCATTAATAATTCTCTTATAGAAAGTATTGATTAACTTTTTAAATAATATTACGTATATGAAACTTAAAGTAAACATAAATTTAATGTGTGCGTGTATGGAATTTTTTTTTCAAATATAGCATAAATGTGATTATTGAATATACATTTTGTGTTGGGTGTGTTGCCCTAAACTCGTGATTTGTATTTATGTAAAAACAAATATATATTCAATAAAGTTTTATTCAATCAATTGATATTGAATTCATAGCATTGCATTGTCCAAAATCCAATAAACTAAACATCCAAGGTTATTATCATGTAATCGGGACAGTATATATATTTGGTATATATTTGATATACTCATGATATACTGTGTATATATTTGATATACTCATGATATACAAGTGGATAATGTCCCGTGAATAACCTAAATGGTCTATAATATATGAATAATACTGGGTACTTATCCTGGCAACACAATAGATACGACCCAATTTTAAATGTTACAGACGACTCGATTCAGGTCGTTCGTGTGGAGACATGCGAGTGGGGGTATCTTATATACAATGAGTTTGTATAAGACCGGACCGCGAAATAACCAATCTTTATATGTAACACCGTTATCTAACAGATTGCTATTTCTTAGAATGACCAGGCAACTCATTCTCAATCTTGAGTGAGTTATGGACTCCTGCCCATGAGGGCTCGTCCTTTGATCTGTATGGGTGAGAGTGATCCGAGTCGCCGACTCAATATTCCTACCATTTTGGGAACGAGACCTTGTGGGGATCTGGGAACATAACTTCACAAGATGGAATTCACTCCCCCCGACTTTAGGGAGTAGATGAGTGTTCTCTTAAATGTTGACTCTGGGACTTGAACAAGGGGCCCCACCCTCTCACTGGCCCGAGAATGACTTCCAATTATTAGTTGGACCATAATCGGGTTGATCATTAGAGGAACAGTGGTATTTAAGGAGTACGATGTAACTCAGAGATAAAACGGTAATTTGACCCAACTTGAATTACGAGCACTCGTGAATGATTAACTTGCCATTATGGACACGAAAACATTCTTCAGTGAGAAGAGTGTAGCTGCGGATCTTTAGTGGAGTGACCCGTAGTTAACGAATGTTGATTAACTCGGTCAATGAGTTTGACCTATTAATCTCGTATTGTTGGAGCTTCTGATCTGTAGGTCCATTAGGTCCCTTGCTAGCTCATAACAGGTAAAACGAAGATCAAGTTTTTGGAAGAATTAATTATATATATATATATATTATAGTATTATAATTTTAATTTTAATTTTAATATTAATATTAACACTCCCCTACTTAGTTGTAGGACCTTGGGGCAATTATGACTGGGGAGTTAGCCCACGTAATACTTTTGAGTTCTGCAGAATAATTCTGCAAAATCAACCCAGATGAATAAGAGCTCCCCCTGCATCTCTCTCAAGCAAAAATCTCTCTCAATACTCCCTTGTGTTCCAACTCGATCGTTTTCACAAGCGTGCTCTCGATACCCAGAGGATAGCATGAAAGGTCTATTGCTGGTGTTTGGGAAATCGTTGAAGAACAGTTCTTCAAACGTAAGTTTTCCCCTGTATTTCATTTTTGCACATTTGATTTTGTTTCTCTTTGATGAATGACGTTCATCGCTTCCGCTCCGGGATTCAAATCCCATCTTTTTGGTCAATCACAAATTAATATGGAAAATTATATATCATTAAATGGAGTATAATTAGAATTTGACAAGTGTCTTTAAATTAAATTAAAAGGAATGAAAAGAATTCACTAATTGAATAATGTCATATGTTCTATATTTTGGGCAATTCAATTGGACCAATCAAATATATAATTGTATCACGTCTATTTAATAACATATATTCATCCAATCAAATTTCACTATGGCATCAATGTGACCAAATCTATTGTTATGGGTAGCATTTGAACAGGACACGCGTTCGTCCCTCCTCAAACGTGGATCCACTAAGAACCACATTCTCAAAGAGGATGTCGCCGAGTAGAGAACGCGTCTGTCTGGGGGGACATAGGACTGTAAATGGTTATGTCCCGTACGCGGCCACATTTGGGGGCGTATGTTGTCGGTGCAACAGGCGCATTCCGCAGCCTTGGGCAACATGCTCAGAAGGCGTAGGTAGTGGGACTACCCTACTGCTGTCGAGACGCGCCCCCTTCTGTCCAACCGTACAGCCTGCAACGTCCCTGCCCCAACCGTCGTCCTTCCTGGTCGGCCGTCCGAGGCTATAAAAGGAAGGACGATCATCCTCATTGGGTAAGTGAAAAACCCTGTCACTAATACCTCCGGTGTCTTATTCCTATTTCTATTTCAATTAATAACTTGGGCGTCGGAGTTGATTAGGCGGGACACCGCACTAACGTCGAGTTCTTTGGTTGCAGGTCCGTAGATTCAAGGTCGAACTGCTCGTCCAGACACCATGTGGCCCTCTACCAAAACTTGCCATCAACACCTATGAATAGCGAGATCATCATAATCCAACAAGTGATTAAGATTCACAAATTGAATATAACTCTAAAGATTAAATTAACAAAGTCAAATCGCCGGTCAAGAAGATCAACAAGCTAGGAGACTAATCATCATCTAGAAAATCAATAAACTAGAGGTCGATCATCCAAAATAAGACCAACAAATTAAGATGCCAATTATCCAAAAAAAAAAATATCAACGAGCCAAGACCTTCAGCATGCTACAAGCCAAATATCTTCGACAAGCTACAAGCTGAAGACAAAGGAAGACCTTCACTGAGCTACAAGTCGAAATGTTTCACAAACTACAGGCCGAAGACTTTCAACAAGCTGTAGGCCGAATACCTCCAACAAGCTACAAGCCGAAAACCTTCGATAAGCTAAAAGTTGAAGGCTTCCTCCAGACAAGTCAAAGCGATTCCAACTTTTTGGACTTGAGAACAAACTCATCAAGCCTTAAGTTAAGTGGTATATTCAAGAGGGAATTAGTAGATAAATATTAGAGATTATACTACTAAAAAAAATAAAAAATTATATTTAGCCCCCATATTAAATTTTTCTAGAAATCTATATGAGTTTTTTCAAATATGACATTTGAGTAATTTGATTTGAGTTATGTTATTTTTATAAAATTTCAGAAATACATTTTTTATTTTATATGATTTATGTAAATGCCTTTGAATTTTACAGTATATTTATGAGTTTTTACATCATTGTATAATCTTTTATAGTATGCAACATAGGTAAATACTATGAACTTGGAAAAGAAGAAACGAAAGCCCCTAAAACATAAACAAAATAAGGAAATAGTTGGCAACCAAATTTGATGTTTAAAATGGAAAATACATTTATTTGAAGAGGATACTGACAACTAAAACAAGCACTTATGTTGGGAAATTGCCATTTTTGACCTCTAAACTTTTTGGAAGGGTAGATTGGAAATTACATTTTTACCGATTTATCTTCACATTGGTCATGGAACAAAAACTTCACACCCTCTTTCACTTTTATCAATTACAAATTGATCGAAGGAAAAAAAAAAACAGTTACAAATATGACAAAAATATTTAATAAAATTAGCAAAATAGTAACCCGTTTAGTTTTTCAAATATAATATTTTTTTTAATTGAAACTCTAATTTTAAAATGACAACTTTATCCACATGATATATAATATATCTGTAATATATCTGATTATTGATTGATATATATATATATATATGTAATATATTACTTATATCAGTATATGATATACTTGCAATATAAGTGTCTGTGCAATATGTATATGATATACATCTAATATACTATTGATATGAGTGTCTGAAAAAATTTGCAAGAATTAAAGGACTGTTAAATATCCTAATCTCTTCACTTCAACCGAGACGCCTCATTTTTTGTTTCATTAGATGGCGTGACCATTGTCATTTCCCTATATGYATTTAGAAAATAATCTTGTAAGTTGCCACTCTCTCTTTCAGTGCCATTCATAGGAGATTTTAATTTGGAATATCCTGGCAGGATTCTATAAAAAAAAGTGTATTAGATACTTAATATATGAATTAAATTTATCAAATGGATCAAAACAATAGAAGTTGAGACTTGGTTGATCCTGACCCCTTTTTTCGTTGGTTGGGATTTTGTTGAAGAAAAAACCCTCGTTCTTCTCTTGTAATGACAAAATAAAATTTTCTTCGTCCTTTGATTTTTGTTTATGAAATCTTGAACTCGATTCAATCTTGATCTTTGTTTCATCAGAGAATGAAAATATGATCTGAGGGGCTGATCGGTGCCGACAAAACGCTTGTGAAGTCAAAAATTCGAGTATTGGTCCTTTTTCGTTCTTCCAATTCGTAAAATCGAAATTGATAAATCATTGGTAGAAATATTTGGATTTGACTAGATTCCATGGATAAAATCATAGCTTTAGTTTCAGTTTTCTCCCTATTTTCCATATGCAAAATTTTGCTATTGAAGAAAGAAAAAGTGATAGAGATAGTGTGAGGTTTTAGTTTTTATGATCCAGGTGAAAATAAATAGACAAAAAAGGTAATTTTAAGTCCTTTTTTTTGTCTTAAAATGATAAAAGAAACTTAAAAATTTAAAAATGACAATTTTCCTCATTATGTTTACTTTG